CTGGGCGACAGTGGCGCGGGGCCGCAGCAGTGACGTGTGCTCAGCTCCCACCCGGGGGCTTCCTCCTCCGCCCTGGGGGAGGGGGGCTTAGGCCCGCGTGAGCCCCGGGGGCGTCTCACCCCTTCTCTGACACCCCCCAGCTGATCGCCACCATCCCCACAAGCCACCTGAAATGCCTGAGGGAGGCGGGGCATGGCCCGGGCAAGGCCGAGATGACGGACGAGGAGATGGCCGAGGACGAGGAGGAGATTGACCACGCTGAGCGGGAGCTGCGCCGTGGCCAGATCCTCTGGTTCCGTGGCCTCAACCGCATCCAGACCCAGGTAGGGCCCAGGCTGTCCCATCCTCACCCAACCCCACAAGCCACCTGAAATGCCTGAGGGAGGCGGGGCATGGCCCGGGCAAGGCCGAGATGACGGACGAGGAGATGGCCGAGGACGAGGAGGAGATTGACCACGCTGAGCGGGAGCTGCGCCGTGGCCAGATCCTCTGGTTCCGTGGCCTCAACCGCATCCAGACCCAGGTAGGGCCCAGGCTGTCCCATCCTCACCCAACGCATTCCCCTCCCCCTTCACACTCGTGCCTGGACCGGAGACTGTGCATCCCACCGCCCCCACCAACGTGCCAACAAGCTCCCCCCCACCCGCCCCTCACCCCACTGCCCTCTTTGCTTTTGTGCCTCAAGAGGATGAGAGAAGAGAGATGGCCAAGGATCCCCTACTCCGGAGCTTCCCGCCGTCCCGTTCCTGCTCAAAGCAACAGGCGCCCCCGACGTCCTGAGTCGGGTCTGGGAAGCCAGCCATGTGGGGTGGGAGGGGATCTCCGCTTGGGGTGTGCCCTTTGGAACGGGCCCGTCTGGCTGGCTGTGAGCATGGACATGGGGCACTGGCGTTCATTCCCGCGTGAGATGCATGGGGCCCGGCTCTTTGCAGACTCAGGCATAGCTGCGGAGGAGCCACGAGCCTGGGGCTTTTGCTGTCCTTTGACTCTCCCTCTGGCCAGAGAGCTGGCGTCCAACCATCACGTACCTGTGTTCCCCTCGGGGCCTGCACACACCTGCCCTGGGGTGGATTTCAGCTAGGGAGGTCTCCCCCTTCACTTTGCCCCCTTGTACGGCCAATGAACTTCTGCTCCCAAGGAGGTGGGGGGCAGGCTTCAGGATGGGGACTGGGCAGAGTTAAGGTTATTTTGGGAACCAGCCCTCACAAGCTGCGGGAGAGGGAGCTGGATTGACTGGCTGGCTAGAAGGGGTGCGCTTTGCCAGGTGATGGGAGAGCAGGGAGCCAAGGCATAGGAGCAGTGAGGCCGGGGAGACCTTTTCCCCCAAAAGCAGGCGCTGGGGGCACATGTAGGGTTCAGCTGGAACAGAATCGTTTTGACTGCAGAGTCCGATTCTGGCTCACAAACATGGGTGTTTGGACAGGCAACTTGGGGATGAACCGACCTGGTTTTCGGCCCCCAAAGGCAGGGTTTGGACAAAGCCGTTTGGGGCCATTTCTGGCCAGTTTCAGACATTGTCAACCGGAAACGTTCTCTCTTTGGTGACGGGATGAAAAGAATTGTTTTCAGCCAGACGTAGAGTTACTGGCCAACAATGCACCATTTCCAGGCGTCACCTGGGGCTGGAAAAGGCCGTTTTTCTGCCCAACTCTAGTTTTGGAAGGAGAAGTTGGTGTGTCCTGATGCAAATGGCGTGGGGAACGCCAGGGGCAGGTTCCGGCCGAGTGCGAAGTCCCCCTTCTGCTTTGCTCGGAGGGTCTAAAGACCAGCTGCGTGCTGGGTCTGAGCCCCCTCGGAGGGCCACAAGCTCCCACAGAGGCAGGACGCCGTGCTAGATGGGCCTCCCTTCTGAGGGCCATGGTGACTAACCTGCTTTCTGATTGCAGCCGGCAGCTCTCGAGGCGCCCTGCAGGGACGTGGCGAATTGTAACCTGATTCCTTCCCTTTCTTCACGTGTGGGCTCAGGCTGGCACTGGCTTGGACAGAGAGCGGCTCGTCTCTGGGTCCTGCTCCCCCTTTCCCAGAGCTAGGGAGTTCCTGCCCCCGGCCCCTCCAGTGACATTCCCACGATGCCTGGCTCCTTTGCAAGAGGCACCCTGCCCCGCTCAGGGCCGGGCTGACGCGGACGTGGTTGCAATCCGTGTGGACACTCGTGATCGGGATTAGCTGAGGTCGATTTAAAGAATCGGTCGGGGTCTTGGTTTGAAACTGGCGCGCCCTCGCAGGGCGGAATGCACCGGTTCCCAAACCCCTTGGAGTCCTGGGAAGTTGGGTCTGTGCCCAGGACTTGGAGGCGGGGCCAGAGATGGGGGCGGAGGGGCCTTTCCCAC